ACAGGGCACCCAGGCTATTTTAAGGATTATTAGCATGGCTGAATCCGCGAGCCGGCAATATGACGCGAAACCTGTGTACGGATTGGCTTCTCGACTGAGCCTGAAAGATGAGCCCATCGTGCCTTTCGAGATTTTCCGCCTTGGTCCAGCGAGAAAATGATATCTTTTTGGCCCTGAAATAAATCCCTTATTGTCCCAGCTTGTTCGGTCAAGATGGCTGGATATTGGCCTCCTCGTTCTTTTTTGCGTTGTTATTATCGTCGTTTTTAATCCGTGAATGCGCAGACAAGAACTTGATCAATATCCAGCCTTCTTGATCTCACGCTTGGTTAATAACACATATCAAGATCCTGTACATGTGTATTACAGGACTTCAAAGAAGCCCGAGCCCCCTGCGGCGTAACAACACAAAACCGGCTCTAAGGGCCTGTTTACATGGGGTGGGGGACCCCGGTCTAGTGGGGTTGGTTTCTTTTGTTTTCACGCTCTGGGGGACACAAAACAAAAGAAACCTACCCCACTAGACCGGGGTCCCGCACTCCATGTAAACAGGGTCTAAGAGTTAGTATGTCCAAGATTAAACGCACATTGTTTTAAAATACTTGATATTTGACTGGGTTCTTTTTCATTTTTACACTACTTCATATTTGTTCGAATTACATGTATTTTGATGATGTTCTCTTCATTAGGACACTTTGTGATGGCTATCATAAGGATAGTGCACCTAATTAGGGTTCGATCCTGGATATACCAGCCGCTCATAAAGCTCCCCACCCCCTACCCCCACCAACTATAGACCCATCAACCCGTAAACAAAAAAATACATCCGATTATATTCCCCACCCATCCCCCCCCAAATGTATTGAAATGAATTCGATTTATTATGACCTTTTGACGCTTAGTTAAAAACCAGTAAATGCAAAATTATTTTGACTAGCACTTCTGTAGATTGCTTCGAAGCGTTTTCTATTCCTGTTATAAGCTGCCTCGGATGTAAGCCCCTCCGTTTATAAACCCTCCTAAGACCCCTTACAAAGATGTTGAAGCGGCAGTTTACGATAAGTAGCCACCAAAAGGGAAAATTGATGCAAGTATGAACGACAATACATATGTCGTTAAAGGATAAGTCATGAATAAATGCCTGTTCTTCTCTCTTTAGACAGGGGTTTGAATTAAAGCTTCGGAAAACTTGGAAAAAGTTTGAACGGATGTGAGTTCGTTTCTTATTTGTCTCAGGACATAACTTCCTTTTGAACGTTTTAGTGTCGTTTTCGACTGTTTCTACAGAGAAACGTACAAAATATTGTACATTGAAAATTGAAGTGCTGTTTACGTTCACGATCTCACCGATCTTTGAGAAGTTTACAAGCAGTTAAGTCAGTCACTTGAACTGTCCTGATCTTTCTCGGTCACGACAATGTTTCTTTCCGATTGCCTCGCGTCTCTTTTATGATGGTGTCGATGATGATGATGACGATGATGATGACGACGATGGTGATGACGCGACTTCCGGTTCCGGTCACTCTCCTGAAAGCTGCTTCTGCGTCTATCAAAACTCCTACTGCGCTGTCGACGACCAGTTTTACGTTCTGAAATATCCTGATGTTTAAACCTTCCTTCACCCTGAAGGAAAGCTCGTTTGTCCTCTTGTTCACTGCCTGCGCTTTCTTCGTTTGGAGAAATCTGTTCATCGTTATTTTTACCGCGACATTGTAGACGTTCTCGGTTATTTTCACGTTCTTTGGTTAATGGAATGGGTGCATAACTTTGTGCCTCCAAAGTTCCATGACCTTCTTCAAACTCATAATCACGAGCTAAGCTTCTCCATGTCTGTTCGTCACCGTTCGAGTATGAACTTGGTTTCCGTATGTCCCTGGTGTCTTCTGTAGGTGCAAGATGGCTCTGTTTTTCCAATCTGTACAAAATGTCTCTACTTTCTTGTTCAAATTCCTCACTGTCGCTGTTACTGATAGTTTTTTCTCCTCTCCTGTGTCTGTCAGTTTCATTGATTGAAACAAACTTTGACCTTGCATAGCCTTCATTTGCAAAGGTCTTTCCCTCTTCTTCCCGTCGCCTTTCTGGAAAGCGCTCTTTAATTGTAGGTGAACATTCGTTAGCTTTTTCATCATTTGAGTTCCTTTCCCCTCGTGTTTCAACTGTTGCAAATTTATCACTGCTTTTACCATCTTTTCCTGAGTAGCTCTGTTTCATTATTCCTTCCGCTGATTCACGGTCTTTCATATGCTGTTTGCTGTCTGTTCTCTGAAGTAACTGTGATTGTGGGGACTTAGAATGTCTTCGTGGAGACCCCGAGCGTTGTCGCGGAGACCCCGAGTGTCTCCGTGGAGACAGCGAGCATCTCTGTGGGGAATTTGAGTGTTTTCGTGGGGACGTCGACCGTCGTCGAGAAGACATCGGGGGTCTTCGAGGTGACAGCGAGCGTCTCTGTGAGGAATTTGATCGTTTTTGTGGAGACTTCGAGCGTCGTCGAGAAGACATCGGGGGTCTTCGAGGAGAAGAGCGTCGACGGGGAGATCTAGAACGTTCTCGAGAAGACCTCGACTGTCTAAATAGTGATCGTGCACGACGCATAGGAGACCTTGTACGCCTGCGTGGAGACCTTGACCGAGCCACCAAAGGTTGAGAAAAACGGCGCGCATCCGGAGAAGAAGGCGGGGGTGTGCGATACCGCTGAAAAATAAAAATCATGTGATTAAGTTCTGTTTCAAACCCTGCCAAATAGAATTTCTAACGATTGAGTAGCCTCGGGCCAGGTTCTTTTCTGGGGGGTACACTGTCTGTGGGTTTTCAGGGATGAGTTTTGCCTTGTTTTGTCTCCTGACCGCTTCCAAATGATTCATTACTTAGTGATTTCCTTTTCTTGTTTTTCGCGTAAGGAAGTTGAAATTAATACCCTGGGAATTTCCTCACCATATTTCCTCGTCCTCGTAGAATCCTTCCCGACCTGGAAACCCGCCGATAAGAAAAACAAACAGAGATAGATGATAGACGGTGAAAAGTTTTATAATTGTGTTAAAAGAAAGAAAAATAGTTACCCACAGACTCCGAGTTTCATTTTAAGAACCAAGAGACTGGGATGTAATTCTTTTATTAATAATTATGGATATTTTCTATTACAGGTATAGACCTTATTCACAACAACCACCATCTTTGCACGCGTTCAAGGGTTGATGGGATAGATGCAATGTCACGTGATTTATCAGTCCCGAAGTGCATGCAAAGATGGTGGATACAATGAAATAAGGTCTACTGATCTCCCAAACAATATCATTCCAGCAGGTGTACATACCCTGGTCCTTTCCTGTGAATTACTTTGAGGCGGAGCTTTATACCCTGGAGGAGACTTACTTTTCCTGTGGTCATACAAACAGAAAATAATATAAACAACTTGAAGATACTACTGACATCTATCTCTCAACATCTGATCAACTTTTTCTGAACCATTTGCCATCAGAATCAATTCAGCAGTGCTATCACATGGTACTACGTAGTTTAATTTTTGAGTCTGTGGATGAAATCCTATGGTGTGACCATTCAAACGAAACTTCTTCCGTCAGTAGTACATTCACATGGTACCATTTCCTTAGTGGGTAATCAGGCACGTTGGATGAAATGCAGTTCTTAGTTTTGAGTCCATGGATGAAATCTAGTTGTGTTGCCATTCCAAAGTACTTTTGTATGTAACAATTAATTTTATTAGTATATACCTCAGAGCTTTGAACAAAGAAAGAGCTTTGCCTTGGGCAAAATTTATCATTTGCAAATTTCGTAGGACTTACATGTTCAAAAATTCCTAATTCATGATAATTATGCACCGAAAAGGAAATAAGCCCAGCTCTCGTAGAAATGATTAAGGTTAGGTGTACCTCAGAGGAAACATACCTAGTTTTTGCCTGCTGAAGCCTCTTTTCCCTGACAGGGGAGGGGGTGCGCCTTCTTCTCAATAGAAAAGAATGGGAACATCTGGGATCTCATCCACAGCCACTGAACTAAAAGGTTCAGGACTCTTTGGTTTAATATCTCCTGGACTGGAATTCAAATTAATTGCTGATATTAGTGTCAATATTTCACTAACAGGGAAGGGGGCGTAAAAGCCACATTATGACATAATATGGGACCTCAAATGTAGCCACAGATTCCTTTGCTCATCACTTACTTGGCCCGGTTTGTTCAAAGCTGGGTTAAGATAACCCTGGGTTAGTGCGAGGTATGTGTAAGTACTCTCAGGGAAGCCAGCAATGCAGGAAAATTTTTAAGATGGGCAAAAACTGCTTGTCTGCATTGGTATGGCTGCCATCTTTGACCACTGATAAAGACAGGGGAGAATAGAAATAGCAACTCTTGGACTAGCCATGGGGTAAAGAAAGGTTGTAAGAAGGGGGAGGGGAGAAAAAATAATATATTGTTTTCTCTTCTTTCTCCCTAGCCTGCGTAGCAAGAGTTTGCTCTTGTTCTATTTTTGGTGCGACCAAAACCAAAAATCCTGTTCCATGTCATTCCTCCATCTTTCTTTGCTCCGAAACCACACAAAAACGCTTGCTACACAGGCTACTTTCTTCCTAACCTCTTTGACTTGCCCTTACTCACTCAACTTCTTTAAAATTCAACATGTTGGTTGCCATGGTTATGCTCTGCACTTGGCACAGTGGCTCTATCAGTCCTTTTTGCTATCCAACTAAATCTATCTACAAGTACATGTTGTCACTTGAGTGTAATGAATGAATTATTGAATGCTGTACTTTTTGCGAACAATGTTAATTTTTGAAATTATATGTATATGATTAATTATTTTATTCACAGTATTCATTTTTATCATATTTGCATTTTTTGTACCAGTATGTATTTATTAAATGTTTGTGTATTGATGTATTTTTATTCCATGTACAGTGGTGTAGTTACAGCCACTTACCTGTCTTTTATCTCTTTCTTTTCTTCTTGTCCTTGCGTTTTACAGATTCACTCATCTTTTTTCTTCTTTTCTTTTTTATGCGTTTCTTTTTCTCCCGCTCATCAATTGATGACTGATCACTGTCTTATTCTGATCCAGAACTGGATGAAGAGTCAGTATCTGAGGAACTGCTGTCAGAATGTTGCTTAGATTTCCTTTTCTTTTTGGCTTTCTTCTCTGCCTCTGAAAGTTAACAAATAACAGTAAGACATCACCCAAGAACAAAAGTATGGTGCCAGGGGTCAGCGGGCAGCACTGCTGCTAGAGTACAGTTCTGTACATAAATTTAGTCAATGGAAACATATCCTGTACCTTTAGCCTTTGCTTTTGAAATAAGTTCACCACAGTTGATAATCTTTACATCCACTAAGGGCCTACTCTTGTCATCAACTCTTTGAATCTCTATCTCTGATACTATTTCCTGACCTTGCAATACTTGGCCAAATATCACATGAATCTTACAAATAAAATATATATACCACAATATAAGCAAGAGCAACATTGTTGAAGTGTGGGTAATAATTGATCTGACTTGCTTTTGAGTTCCAATGCAACAAACAAAAATGCGTAAGTATACAAGTCATGTACAATTTCATTACTTAACTTAGCATTTTTTTTATTTCATGAATTTGTTTTCGCCAATAAATATCCTCACGAAAAGAAAACATGCAAAATTTTAATTTAATATCCATAGAAAATTCAAATCATATAAAAATGATTAAGATTTATTAACAACAACTGTTTGTACTGTAGAGCCTAGGCGTATCGACAAGAAAATTATTGTTAACTGGTTTTACTGGTAATTTTTATTCTGTTGTGGAATAATGTTAATATGCATTTTGTTTGTTACATTTATCTTGATATCTTTTAAAAATTCAGATGTTTGAAAAATAATATAGCAAAATTTGATGCCCTTTTTTTTATATTTGTGTATTGAAATTGAAAAAATGAAACCATATGAAACACTGTCTTGTCTGTAGCAATAACATCATAATGCTAACAGAAATTTCCTTTCTGTCAGTAAGAACAGCTGAATCAAGTTAAAAGAAAACTTACCCATCAAGATGTGGGGCAGGCTGAGTTGTTCTGTGAAAAGCAAAATAAACACACTATAAAAACTTAAAACATTAAAACTTTGTCTTTATTCACACTACAATATTGTTATGTATCACAGAGATGCCAATTTACCTTGGAAGACCTGAAATCTGGCCCAAGTTGTTCACTCCTTGGATCAGGTTCTATTTAGCAGATAAATTAATATCCAGTGGATAAGCATTAATTAGAGAAAACAACTGGATCAACGACTGGATAGAGATTAATATTATCAAGTTGATACATTGAAGTACATAAACCCTCTTTTAAATTTGAACCTGGGGCCTTGAGAAAAGGAAGGAATTGAGAATTAAAGGCGGGGAAAATTAGACAACAGCAGGAAATTCAAAAAAGAACTGAACCATTTTTGCCAGTGTAATTAAGTTGACAGTGCCCAGTTGCTCAGAAGGTGGGTAATTCTATTCATCAGGTAAATTACTATCCAGAGGACAAGGCAATTGGCTTTCATAACACTCTAACCACTCCATAGCGATAATTAATAATATTTATACAGTGGATAGCACTACATGCATCCAATCTTTGAGTGATCAGGACCTGACTTATACTACACATCTACATGCATGATGCAGTTGAATTTTATACTTGGTTTCAAATTTATAGGGTGGTTTCTATCTCTTAAAAGATCAAATACTTACATAAAAAACTGAGAACCATTAGTGTTTGGACCTTTGTTAGCCATGGACAACAACATTGCTGTCTCGTGCTTAAGCTGGAATCCCTCATCTGTTATAGGGAAAACAAAAAAAAATGAAAAACTTGATATGGCATGTAAATCATTGCAGTTATCACAATTACATGTTTGTAATTCTCATAAGTTTCAACCCCAGTTAACAAAAAAATTAATTATTTTCATATATTATTTAGATAAGCAGTTAAAAATATAACATCCCATTAGATCAGCTTTATAATATTAATAATAAATTAAGGGTTTCCTGAAAAAAGGGCGTTAAGCAATTTTACTGTCATGCCAGTAAAATGTAGTTAATGGAACGTGACGCTAGTTATCAGCAACCCTTTCATGGCGGTTCTTTTTCAATAAAGCAATTGTGTAGTCAAGGTGTCAAGGTCAGCAAGCTCTAAGATGCATTGTATTCTAGCGTAGAACTTTACAGCCTTGTACGAGCCGCAGCATTGGCCAGTATTTTCAAAGCACTATTTATGGCTAAGAATTTGCTCATGCGATGCTGAGTTGTCTTGTGGTACAGCCTTTTCTACTGGCTATGCCAGCAGATGTTCGTCTAGCTATAAAAGCCAAGAACAACTGTTCAAAGTTCACTTGGGATCTATTGTTCAGCAAGGTTTAAGCGCTCAGTATAATATTCTTGTAAAATTTTTCCCTCCCTCTCTCCCTTTGGAGACGATCGAGGTTTGGGCTTTGTTTTGTGCTATGCCATCAAATAAACTAGGGACACTCCTCGGAGGTGAAGTCTGCACAGCCACTTCCCCCAAGCTTGTTGGCTGCATTGCCGTTGAATATCTCCCGCAAACTGATACTCTTGTCCGATCCAGCACGTGCTGTATTGCATTCAGCTCGTAGTGCTGAGGTGAAGTCTGCACAGCCACTTCCCCCAAGCTTGTTGGCTGCATTGCCGTTGAATATCTCCCGCAAACTGATACTCTTGTCCGATCCAGCACGTGCTGTATTGCATTCAGCTCGTAGTGCTGAGGAGATAAGTGAGGTTCTTTGGTCACGCCATTGCCGGAAGTCGCACGGGCTAACCTAACGCAAGGCAGTGTTCCCCCATTTACCGCCAACTTCTCATTATTTGTTTTATAATTACATTACTTCGCGTTTAACATGCATTTTAAAGGATCAGAGACATCAACATACTTCGCCAGTCCCTTGACTCTTCGTTAAATCAGGGTTTCACTGTAGTCAACTCAATTTTATGTTTACAACGAGGCCTGACAAACTACTGATAAAATTGCTGTTTGACTATAACACAAAGTCAATTCAGATATTAAAGGTTTACTATACTCAATCCTCACTAATTGCACTTCTTCAATTTTTACAACTACAAATCTGACTCTAACTGCAAGTCTTGTTGTTGAGATTAATACTGTGAAGCTACATACCATTAAACGTGCCACCATAAATTGACTCTCCTCCAGTCCCATTTCCTGTGATAGACAAAAATAATAGAAAAAATCATAATTTATTTTATTACATATCAAATTTTAAATGTATGCTCTAATTGATCAAAGGTTTGCAAAGAATGATTTGTACAGCACATGACATACAGTACTGCTCAAAAGTAGGTTACCAGTCATGTCTCCTTTCCTGCGTGATGAGAATCTTGGTGCACACTATACGATTATCATCACGCTACTAGAATCGCGTAGTGCGAGCAAAAAATTATTGACACACATCCAGTCAGAAACCAACTAAAAATTTTGCTTAATGTTACCTAGAAGACTGATGTAGTACATGTTTTACAGATCAAAAAAATACCTGATACGAACATGAAAAGTAACAAGCACCTTGCATCAGGTGTTAATAGTCAGCAGCTTTTGAAAACTCTGTGAAACACTGCTGTTCTTGTTACAAAACCTCTCCCTCGCAACTCTCACAAAAAGATCTTATTAATGTAAGTAAAGATACAGAACCTACCGTTTATACATCGAAAAAGGTTTTATTGCAACAATCTGCAACTTCTTTTGCAAAAACAACTACACTTAGGCACACTTACAAGCCACTTACACATTGTGATGAAAACTCTTGTGTCAAAATAACATCAGTCATAACAAATTCCAAGGTAACAATACAGCTATTAAAGGAGATTGTTTTCCAGTATCTTTGCTAATGACAATAGTTAAGGCTCTAACTCTGAAAAGTCCATTTGAGCCATCTTGATAATTATGTGTGGTTGAGCGGTTAACACCTCAAACTCTGGATCTGGAGGTCTATGGTTCAAAGTCACCCATTGCATTGTTTTCTTAGACAAGGAACTTTACTCCACTTGGCCTCTCTTCACCCAGGTGTATAAATGGGCACTGGCGACACACTGCTGGAGGGTAACCCTGCATTGGACGAGCATTCTGTCCAGCGCTGCTCCGGCCATTTGAGCCTCTAGCTTAAGTGTGCCTTTTCTTTTACCATCTTGATATAAAAATAAAAATACCTTTAGTAAAGTCTCCTCCTTGAATCATAAAATCCTTGATAACTCGATGGAACCCTGATCCTTTATAGTGAAGAGGCTTCCCAGAAGTCCTGCTTAAACCTTTTTCTCCTAAAAAACAGGTTCAAAGTTAATCCAAAAAATCTTGTCTAAAGTTTCCATGAAATGTCATGTTTATCACTTAAAAAATAGCCATTGATTTCCTTAAGAGTTCAGCAATTTCATAACACTATGCACTATTGCATTAGTTTTTCAGTAGTCTCAAGTCATTATGTCAATTCCGGCATTTTTTTAGCCCTCTTATTCAGTGTTCCAGTTAATTTTTTCAAGAGGGGGGTCATGTAGACAATCTGAGGGGTCACCAAGACCACCTGCTAATTTTTTTCATTATATTTAACTTACAGTGTAATACTTATACGTCATCTGTCAGGTCAGGAAGCCTTATTTGTCGGGTCATTGACCCAAGACCCATCTCCTATCTGTAACACTGTTATTACTTTTAGTTGTATTTGTTTCCTGAAAACAGGACCCCTCTAGATTAGCATAGCTACCCAAGGCGGGGTATGTTACAATAGTGCTTCAATCTTAAAATGCAAATAAAATGGATATACGTGTGTAACAAATAAAATGTATGTATATGTGTATGTATGTATGCACTAGTAAAATAGACAAAAAAAGGAAGTGACCATGAATTTAATAATTATTATGACTCCATCCCACTTACAAGTGAGTATATGGCCCACCACGTATCAACTGATCTCAACTCTAAAACACTAATGTTTACATGTAATATGAAAAAAGATATTATTATTATTATCATGATCATTTTTACTATTATTATTACCGGTAATATTAATATAATAGTTGGTAGTGGTAGTAGTAGTACATGTATCTACATTAATACGTACTTCCTTACCTGTGCACAATGCTCTAAAGTTGTCAGATGTCTTAGGACAGATGTCAGCAAACAGTTCAAAAATAATCCTGCCAGCTACAAAGAATGCAAAATTGATTCTTAAATCAAGCAAAATTTAAGAGTTTTAGATTTGAAGTTCTTTCAAACCAGTCTTCCTTTCTACCCACCTACTCCTCTTTCTATGTTACAAGCAGACTGAAGTTGCTCATTGGAAACCTTATTGATTTAAATTAATTAGCCAAAATAATCCATAAAAAAGATTAGATTATCCCAGTGTTAACACATTAGGCTCACATCATTAATCAAGAGAAGTAAGCATTCATAACCAATACTGCACAGCCATATTGATTTAAGTTTAAAATTATAGAAATTGATTAAAATCAAAGAATCAAACTTCTGCTATATTAAACTTAATATAAGCTTGAATAAGCTTATAATTATTTCCATATTATTAAGAGTTATAGTCTGAATTTCAGCCGCTTCTCTTCCCAAGTGACTTCATAAATTAAATTTTGAAAAACAGCAACCAATGCCAACATTTAACCCAAGGAATTTAACGTTTCGTACCTGGAGATCCATTTATCTGAACATCAAAGAAGCATCTTGGCCGATAGCCGTTCGCTTTGGGGACAGCCATCTTGAACACTTCCAGCATTTTCATGTACGCTTACACGAAGAAAATTATTACCCGATTGGAAACATGGGATTTTCTACTTGTTACAGGGTCTGCTGACCAGTTGATGTGCAGATGCAAAAACAAAATGGTGGATCTGCGGTCACGAGAAGTTTACAAATGCTGCACTTATTAGATCCTGGTTAAACTACCCCGATTACACTTGCTACTCGTTTCATTCACTCTTAGAGAATAAGATGGCTCACGTTACAGTTGACTGGAATCCACTTGGAAAGGTATTTTATAGGTAAGTGGTTCTTTTCAGATCAGTCTGTCTCCAAGTTCTGGCTCGGCCCATAATTATAAAATGCTACCTATTATTGTTTTATTATTCATTCAAAATATTTCCTCCAAGCTGAAGACATCCTTACCTTTATGTAAAATTCCAGTAGTCAAACATCTGCCTGTTTTTTGCCAGTCCCAGATTATGAGGGGATATCATATTCTTGCTGATATTCTTCAAATGGTAGTTTTCAGTGTTTTTGTTTGTTATTTCAAAGTTTTTGAGGGAGAAGTTCAGGAAATTTAATGAGGTTAAATATAGCTACTTAACTTAGTTAACGATGAGGAGCTCCAGTAGCTGCTTAGTAGTTAGCTTGGCATTAGCGTGGCAATGGCGTGGCGTGTCGTTGACGTTTGTTAGGGTTTTATATTGGTACGCTTTGGCGAGCTGGCAGTTATCCTATGCTCTTTTGTTTTCTCCGGGTTTCATGTTACTGTACTAGGCCTGTTGCAGGATAATTTCCAGTGCCCCCTGTGTCAGTGGTTTCCATTGCGATTTATGCGTCTGCGTTTGCAATGATGTGCTCGTAGGGGTGTCTACAAAACAAAGACCTAAGACCTATAGGGCACGGGTGTCTACAAAACAAAGACCTAAGACCTAAGACCCTAAAACGAAGACCCCAAAACGAAGACTAGTTTTTTTTACAGGCCTATCAAACCAGAGCCAGTCAAGCCGGGTCAACGCTTTTCCTCAGACACCAACTGACGCGAAATGAATGGGGTCTTCGTTTTGTAGATTAAACCGGGTCAAACTACAAAACGAAGACCCTCGCTTAAATGCTTTGTTCGTTGTCAACTGATGCGAAATGAATGGGGTCTTCGTTTTGTAGATTAAGCCGGGTCAAACTACAAAACGAAGACCCTCGCGTAAATGCTTTGTTCGTTGTCAACTGATGCGAAATGAATGGGGTCTTCGTTTTGTAGATTAAGCCGGGTCAAACTACAAAACGAAGACCCTCGCGTAAATGCTTTGTTCGTTGTCAACTGATGCGAAATGAATGGGGTCTTCGTTTTGTAGATTAAGCCGGGTCAAACTACAAAACGAAGACCCTCGCGTAAATGCTTTGTTCGTTGTCAACTGATGCGAAATGAATGGGGTCTTCGTTTTGTAGATTAAGCCGGGTCAAACTACAAAACGAAGACCCTCGCGTAAATGCTTTGTTCGTTGTCAACTGACGCGAAATGAATGGGGTCTTCGTTTTGTAGATTAAGCCGGGTCAAACTACAAAACGAAGACCCTCGCGTAAATGCTTTGTTCGTTGTCAACTGATGCGAAATGAATGGGGTCTTCGTTTTGTAGATTAAGCCGGGTCAAACTACAAAACGAAGACCCTCGCGTAAATGCTTTGTTCGTTGTCAACTGACGCGAAATGAATGGGGTCTTCGTTTTGTAGACTAAGCCGGGTCAAACTACAAAACGAAGACCCTCGCTTAAATGCTTTGTTCGTTGTCAACTGACGCGAAATGAATGGGGTCTTCGTTTTGTAGATTAAGCCGGGTCAAACTACAAAACGAAGACCCTCGCGTAAATGCTTTGTTCGTTGTCAACTGATGCGAAATGAATGGGGTCTTCGTTTTGTAGATTAAGCCGGGTCAAACTACAAAACGAAGACCCTCGCGTAAATGCTTTGTTCGTTGTCAACTGATGCGAAATGAATGGGGTCTTCGTTTTGTAGATTAAGCCGGGTCAAACTACAAAACGAAGACCCTCGCTTAAATGCTTTGTTCGTTGTCAACTGATGCGAAATGAATGGGGTCTTCGTTTTGTAGATTAAGCCGGGTCAAACTACAAAACGAAGACCCTCGCTTAAATGCTTTGTTCGTTGTCAACTGACGCGAAATGAATGGGGTCTTCGTTTTGTAGATTAAGCCGGGTCAAACTACAAAACGACGACCCTCGCTTAAATGCTTTGTTCGTTGTCAACTGATGCGAAATGAATGGGGTCTTCGTTTTGTAGATTAAGCCGGGTCAAACTACAAAACGAAGACCCTCGCGTAAATGCTTTGTTCGTTGTCAACTGATGCGAAATGAATGGGGTCTTCGTTTTGTAGATTAAGCCGGGTCAAACTACAAAACGAAGACCCTCGCTTAAATGCTTTGTTCGTTGTCAACTGATGCGAAATGAATGGGGTCTTCGTTTTGTAGATTAAGCCGGGTCAAACTACAAAACGAAGACCCTCGCGTAAATGCTTTGTTCGTTGTCAACTGATGCGAAATGAATGGGGTCTTCGTTTTGTAGATTAAGCCGGGTCAAACTACAAAACGAAGACCCTCGCTTAGAGGCCGAGACACACGATGCGACAAATCGCTGCGACACGTCGCCGCGACAGGTTGCTGCAACAAATCGCCTCGTGTGACATGTGAAATAAGGCCGGCTCGAACATACTAGGATATTTTTTTCCCATAAGCTCTCTATTACATTTGTGCTGCATGCAATTTTTTTCTTCGGACAAGCACTTGCAGGAAATTTTTTTTCAAAATCACCCACCCCCCCCCCCTCAAGAGTTAAATGGTCGGCCCCTAAACATGTTGCCCTCAAAAGTTAGAAAAACAATTACAGCATACAAATATGTAAAAACAATACTATCTAATCTAATCACTGTTAATACAATCTAGAAACTTTAAAGACATGACTTAACTAGCCGACTTTCAACCTCTGTCCATCGCGAAAATCAACATTCTTTATCAACAAGCAGGGTTTTACGGACAGATATATCGTTGTGTCAAATTTAAGAGGTCTCCTCTGTCTCCTGTATAAAATGTGATAAAATTTGCCGATACGTTGCGTGACGACGACAGATTCCACATACTCACTTTTTAGAACTAAACATCTTTACATTATCCTTCATATTTCTTGTTAAATATTTTCACATTAACTGTTAATGTTTAAGCGTAAAAGCATATTTGTAAAAGTATATTTTTACGTACATTAATATCCTAAGACCCCATAGATTTCGCGTCAGTTGACAGCGAACATAGCCTTTAAGCGAGGATCTTCGTTTTGTGGTTCGGGCCGGCCTTCTCTACAAAACCAAGACTTAATTGATTGATTTCGTGTCAGCTGACAACGAACAAAGCATTTAAGCAAGGGTCTTCGTTTTGTAGTTTGACCCGGCTTAGTCTACAAAACGAAGACCCCATTCATTTCGCGTCAGTTGACAACGAACAAAGCATTTACGCGAGGGTCTTCGTTTTGTAGTTTGACCCGGCTTAATCTACAAAACGAAGACCCCATTCATTTCGCGTCAGTTGACAATGAACAAAGCGTTTAAGCGAGGGTCTTCGTTGTGTAGTTTGACCCGGCTTAATCTACAAAACGAAGACCCCATTCATTTCGCGTCAGTTGACAACGAACAAAGCATTTACGCGAGGGTCTTCGTTTTGTAGTTTGACCCGGCTTAATCTACAAAACGAAGACCCCATTCATTTCGCATCAGTTGACAACGAACAAAGCATTTACGCGAGGGTCTTCATTTTGTAGTTTGACCCGGCTTAATCTACAAAACGAAGACCCCATTCATTTCGCATCAGTTGACAACGAACAAAGCATTTACGCGAGGGTCTTCATTTTGTAGTTTGACCCGGCTTAATCTACAAAACGAAGACCCCATTCATTTCGCTTCAGTTGACAACGAACAAAGCATTTACGCGAGGGTCTTCGTTTTGTAGTTTGACCCGGCTTAATCTACAAAACGAAGACCCCATTCATTTCGCGTCAGTTGGTGTCTGAGGAAAAGCGTTGACCCGGCTTGACTGGCTCTGGTTTGACAGGCCTGTAAAAAAAACTAGTCTTCGTTTTGGGGTCTTCGTTTTAGGGTCTTAGGTCTTAGGTCTTAGGTCTTAGGTCTTAGGTCTTAGGTCTTAGGTCTTTGTTTTGTAGACACCTCGTAGTTTTAAAGTGCATGGTGTTCAGGGCGTTTTGCTCAGTGTTGCTCAGTTTTAGTGTTTTTTCCCCTTCCTCCTTACCCCTTATTATTATTTATTAGTATTATTGTGGTCCTTATTTCTCCACTGAACTCTCAGTTCAGTGTGATGGGTGCTTGGGCTGGGGCTGGCTGTGGCTGACGGGGCTCGTGGCTGGGTTGCAGGTAAGGCAGGCTTTTAAGGTGTTCTTGCTTCAGGCATTAATCTACCCATAACATGTGAAATCTTCTACCATTTACTCTTGGTCTTCAACACCAAAACAGCCAAACCATCACTGATCTGCTTCTTTGCTTGATTTCTGTGCATCCTTTTCCACTTTGGAGGTGTGTCTGACAGAATGGTTAACACCTTGAACTCCGCATCTGGAGGTCCAGGGTTCAATCCTTTTTGAATGGTTTTAATCCGTTTCAAATGGTTTCCTTTGACAAGGACCTTTACACCACTTTGCCTCTCTTCACCCAGGTGTATTTAACAATATTATTCCTCGAGCCCGAATAGGCTGTGAGTCAATAGCCCATGAGGCCAAAGGCCGAATGGGCTATTGACTCAGAGGCCATGAGGGCGAGAGGAATAATTGTTTTAGTAAAATCCGACTAGTTGGTCAAATCTATCAAGACAAAATAACTTTGCCTAGCATAACACGATTCAGTCGCCATCGTTTTGGTTTTCAAAGCCGGCGCTTTCCGCTACTAGTGGGCTATAACATAAAGCCTAGTAGAAGCTCAACCAATCAGAATGCAGCATTGATCATAGACCACTAGTTGGATTTTACTAAAAATGGATACCCGCAAAATACTGCTAGGGAGTAACCCTCCGATAGACTAGCATCCCATCTAGGGGGGAACAGGGAATGGCAAGACTCCTATGGTCATCCTTCATGGTAAGGAAGCTGGGATAAGCTCCAGCCTTTTTGGGCCTTTGGCTTGCGTGCACCTGTAATCTTGTTTTTACCTTTTCCAGTCTGAGACTTTACTTTTGACATCAGCCTTTAAATCAAAGCAAACATCTTTCAATTTTGGCAAATAACCAGCAGGCTCAGGAAAGAAATACCGGGGCAGCCATGGAATTTAAGCCAATCAGCATAGGCGCACGGGCAATTTTTTGCCAGGGGGGGGTGGTAATCCATTTGCCCAAAAAATTCTTGCAAGTTGCCCAAATTTTTACAAAACAGTCGAAAGGAAACTAGGGCCATGCAACAAAATAGGCCGTACTGACATATGAAAGTGGCTCGATACAGTTTTTCAGAGTCAATACCTGCCAAGTTTGAGCATAAACTATGTCGCCACAAACAAGCATTTGGAAAAAATTGCCACCACAGTTGTATTAGATAAAGAGGGAAATTTGTGATGATCAGGATTGCACTGACATCGGAGCTGTCATAGCAACGAAATGACGCCATTACCTATTATACTTGCGGCAATATTTCTCACTGGGAACTGTTCTTACAAAATCGTTCAGGGAAGCTCTTTCTTCTAATAGTCGCCTCGATATTTGTGAAGTTAAAACGGAACTGTAAGAGCGTTATCGAGATATTTTGGGATGAAGTTTTTATTGTTAGAAATAAGGTAAAAAAGGAAAATCTTGATGTTTAGAAAACGAAGTTTCAATCTTATTAAAAACGTGTATGAAAGATCATGGAGATAGCTCCTGCCAATTGCTAATAAGGAAGGATTTGATTAGCGCTCGATCTTGTTAGGAGTTTCGTAAACATTTCGGTCTACTTAAACAAATTAGTGAATAATTTTTAAACCCTCGATAGATTTTTTCAAGAAAATTATGATTCTTCTCATAATTCAAACTGAGAATTAGTCAGCCACTTCACTTTCAGACCATTGCTGATGCGTGTTCTGCCACACACTGTTCTAGGAGCGGAGGTGATTCTAGAAAGTTATGCGGAAGATTATTCTAATCAATTCATGACTGGAAATAGCCCACTCCAGCTAGTACAGTGAAGTACAGTGCCCAACAACAACAACAAAAAATCAGCATATGATACCCTTCCCTTATAACCAGAAACTCATCACGTGCTAGGCAACCACTCGCTCGTGTGAACATAACTGAATTATTACGCCGACTTCTGCTTAAAATAGAAAATATTTGTGTCTTCAAAATATAATAATAATAAAAAACATGGAAACGTCTTTAAAAACTGGCTTTGCCCAAGTTTTCTCTTGCTGCCCAAAAAATCCCAGTTGCCCAAACTTTGGGGGGGCTGCAGCCCCCCTCGCCCCCCCAGCCCGTACGCCTATGCCAATCAGTCAGGGATGGAGAAATATTTTAAATGTACACACTGTAGCTATAATTGAATTACAGCAGAAGTTTTCTTCGCAAAATGTGTTTGTCTTGAACAGGAAAGTAGAGCTGTACAGTATGGAGTGGCAAGATGCTGTGGATCTATCCCGTTTTATTGTGAGTGCAGCACCTTTTGGTGGTCCAATAGGTAAGTACATCAGACTTCTTCTAAGTGTCATTTAACTTGTACAGGGAGTACAAGTTTCATTTCCCTCATTATTGTAGGGTAAATAGGACTCACCATGGTAAACGTTTAAGAGCCAGAATCAAAGAAATGCTCTTAACAGCACTGTAAGTTCCGGCATTAATTTGTAAGTTACAGTACCGTTCAAAAGTAAGTTGACAGTCCATTGCGAGTCTCGATTCTCGACTCAATTCACCATTCTCGATTCCTGCGCAAATTGAGAATCGAGAATCGAAAACAAGCTATCGAGAATCGAGTGGAGAATCGAGTCTCACAGGACAGAAAACAAAAGATTCACGCATGACTGATTTCTCTAATTTTACAATTTTGCGGTATGGTTACATTCCCACAAGCGACTGTATGCGTGAAACAAGACCAATTCAAATTATAAAGCGAATGTTTCTTCAAGGGCATCTGTATCAAGCTTCATTTCCTTAACTAAAGTTTCAAATACCTGCTCCAAATGCAAACAAACAGCACATTTATTTTGTAAGGTCAAACGATTCTGGGCTTAATCGGCCGCTTGGCTTGATAAAGATCAGCTGTAACATACACGTCCGTCCGTAACATGACTAATCTTTTGCTCTGAAATTGTGTTCATGATCCTTGAAAACTTTCGAGAAACAATGGTTTTGATTCTACTTTTAATTTAGCGCTTTCTTAGTTTGAGGTAATCGCTCGTAAAATTGGGCCTGCTTTTTTCTGTGATGGAACAGGATACGAGTGAACTTTTTCGTTGCCTAGCAGGTGACTGCAGCTACCGTGATGAAAAATTGCGCAAGTGGTTTGTATTATACGCTACTAAAAATTGTTTTCAAAGCTCTTGGAGGTTTCTGAAGTTTTCTGGCAGGTATATTCAAATTGAAACTTTCATGTATGCAATCACATCCCATAAAAAGCGAAGGGCAAAATATCAAACTGAGATGCTTTCACGTGCATGTATCACAAAAACAGCAATTCTGGTCAAGAGGTCAAGTTACAAGCAGAATTAATTACAAGTAAAGTTTCCAGCAAAAAAACACCCTAACTTTGGACACTGATGAGTAGACATTCAACCGCGATAATGCCGATGGGCATTCACAAACAGGCAGTATTAAATGGATTTTAAAAACAGAAGGTCATGGATTGCTTTTCAAGTTTAACTAGTGAACTGGCAACTTTTGCTATTTGAATGATGCAAAATGCCGTTCGAACAATTTAAAGGTTTCAACACAAAGTAGCACACGAGCCGTGTGAAGGAATGCAAATTTCCTGAAGAGTTCTCCCTGAGACAGCTGTCAACTGCTATTTGCATAGTTCAGGAATTTCTCACAAGAATCAAACGCTGAGTAGAGTTTGTTATTTTATAGAGTACAAAGACTTTTCTGACGTGAGAGAAGTTAGAAGATTACTCAAAACTTGAACAAAGGTTGTTACTTGTAGACTCTCACAGCAGTCGAGTATCAAGAGTAGAGAGCAAGTTACTCGAAACTAAACAAAGGCCGTTCCAGTTTGATGGGTCTTGCGGGAATGAAGAATCGAGAATTGAGACGCAACAATTGAGAATCAAGTCTCGATTCTCAACTTGAATCTCTATTCTCAATCTCGCAAGGATCGAGAATCAAGTGTCAACTTACTTTTGAACGGTACTGTATGTCTATATCAGCAAGAGTCCATTATACTGTACCAGAATTTTGTTTCAGTCAACTGTCTGTACATGTCCTGCAGCCCCCCACATTGAGATTTCCTTTTTGGAGGAATGGTTTGTATTTGTTGTATTTAAAATTTTCAGTTCTGATAAGAGATGACAAGCATTTTGTTCGAGTCCAAGGATCAGCTGTTAATAAACCCATCATTCATATTTTTTCCTCTGCTGGAAAAGAACTTGCCACAGTTAAGGTATGTGTCTTTTTTTAAGGTCTACTGCTGCTTGTTGTTTAACCTGGGAACACAGACAAAGAGGAGTGTCGATCAGACCGAGCAGGCTACTTGTTGTTTAATATTGACAAATTTTGTGAATGTTGTTCTTGGCTAGAAGACTAACTGTCAACTTTTTTTGTTATTGCATTGGAAAAGGGCAGGAACTTGTATTATCATATGGCTGGTTCTGTGAGCAGGAAAGATGAAGTAATATTCTGACTGGTTACTGAAGCAGGCAGCCGTTTTTAGTGCTGTCACACAATGCTCCTACCCACCTCCCTTGTGGGGAGGAGTGTTGCGTGACAACGCTAAAAACAGCAGTGAGGAAGACTAGTTCATCAATGCATGGGAACAAGAACAAAAACAAAAATGTTCTGCTTCTGTAGGCTATTGATCAAGTATTCTTTTTTATTCTTAGTGGGATGGAGGCCCCATAGTTCAGATGGGATGGTCCATCACAGAGGACCTACTTTGCGTGGCTGATGATGGTACAGTGATGGTGTATGACATTCATGGCACAATCAAGAAAACCTTGTCAATGGGACAGGTAAGTGTTGAATCATTTTGTGTCATGAAAAGGCTGAAGAAGAAGACATGATGCATGTATGTTTGTAAAGCACCACAGCTTGACCACTTCTGATCAACTTGAAGCTCATCTTAGCCCATTGATGCCATATCTTATGTCAGTAAATTCTTTAACCACCCCAAGTAAATAAATTTTCTGACAAATTGAATAATCATTAATTTTTCCATAACTGCATGTATAAGCAAAATAAATGTAATTTATAATATATCATAATCAAAAACATAAGTCATAGACTGTTTGCTACTTTATTAAAGGGGTTGTACAAAAATAGAGTATACTCATACATTTACTTTTTGTAGCAAAGGCATAACCATTGAATAATATTACCCGTATGTCGTGTATGTTTCAGGTCAAAATTTCAATTCAGGTTAAAAGCTTTAAGCCTTGGTTGATTCTCTATCTCCTTTGTCTCCTGGTCCTAATTCATTCATGAATTAGCTCTTTGAGACAAAGGAAATCAAGAATCAACCTGGATATGATTTTAACCCTTAACATTCATTGTATTTATGTTGTTTTTGCAAAAAAAAAATGCACAGCAACTTCATAGATCTGGTGCTTCTAAGTTGGGTACAGGAGACGAAACTGGTAATTTTTATCTGCATTTTTTTGTAGGATTCCAAGGAATCTAAAGTTATTGACTGCAAAACCTATAATTTTGCTGGAAGGACTGGCATAGCTATCCTGACTAGTAATTACCACTTTTATGTTGCAAACAACGTGGAAGAGGTCAGGAGTCGACAGTATTATGACCCACCAGGTAAATAATGTTTTATTTTTAAGTTACATGTTCATCTCACATGCTTTTGTGATCTATAGAACTCAATATCTGCCTGTCTGTCACTTTCCTTTGGTGATAAGTTTGAATTTGATGAGAGTTAAAGTGTTGTTCAACTGGCAATAAAGAAATCTTGTCACGCATTATTCCTTGTAGCATTTGACTGACTTCAAGTGGGCTTGAATTCTAACTTTTTTTTTGCGGCGAGAATATTCGTCAGGCTATCTTCTCTTAAATATTTACAATGATCTGTCTTAGTTAAATGTGTATTTTGCCACAAGGAAAACAATAACTGCTCTCGATCCCAACTCGTTAAAATTCTGTCCCCTAACTACTGAGGGCTGTCCCTATCTGAGAAAACTAGAAAGTCTAATGGTTTGCAGATGTCTTTACAAAGGCAGCACTTTCTGCTCAGCATTAAAAGACCCCCGCCTAAGTGTTGATCCGGCCGGTGTGTTGAACCAGCGACCTCTCGCTCAGCATACCGGCGCTTATCCAACTGAGCTAACCGGACGGCAAAAAATGACCAGTCATGAATCTTAAGAAACATAGGGCCAGTTATTTAAACGTAGTTTAGCCAGTGTTTAACAAAACCGCATTCTGAGCCATTTTCAATTTGCCCAACGGTTTTATCTAAACTCCGTTTATTGTGAAGTGTTTTATGAAAGCATATAGAGTAGATTAGAAAAGCATTTATCTTCTTAAAATATCGCACTAAGGAAGAGATTCTGGAGGTCCAAAGATTCGTTAAACCCCGGCTTAAATTCAACGTCGTTTAAATAACCGACCCATAATGTTTTTAACCAGGTTTAGATGCTCCACCCAGCAGCTGGGTCATTATGCCGCATGACAGAGGTTGATCGTTGCTAGTGGCAATTGATAATCTGTTATACCTTACAGAAAAGGGACAGTGTAATAGACTGGCGAGCTGTAGTATACAGTAGAACTGTTATCGTGATACAACCACTTATAATTCAATCATTGTTTCTCTTCATCCATGAAAAATAACTTCAACCTCGAGACATGCTTGCTTTTTCATAAAGTTCGCGTCTTTAAAACGTCTGTTTCAGGATTTGAAGAAAAGTTTACCAAGCAGATATTTGCACACCGATTGCAACTCAGCAACGGTGGCGAAAACATCTCTTTAAAAGAGAATTCGGGTTGTTTGAAACTTCTTGGAGACGAATCCAATTTTTCAAATGCGGGCGAGTTTTGGGCTTTTCTAGGGTTAAATTCTCAGAGGCCGCATTCAAGAGAAAAATTGATCAAAGTATTCACGTTTTCCATACAATTAACGTGAAATTAGGAAATTTCCCCGCTCGGCAAAATGTACCAGAAGCGTGATGCACGTGTAGAGTTATCGTTTAACGAATTTTTGACCGGCTAAAAACATTTGACCGGACACATCGTTCACCCGGGACCGTTCAATATATTTCGCTGTTCACACGGAACTTTGAACGGCTATGCGTCTGAATTTTCGTACGGTTAAGGTGATGTTATAGGAGACGATGCGCCGCAACACAGCGTTGCAATGTTGAAACAACGTTGCAACCATTCGAAACAATATCGCAACAATGTTGCAACACCGTGTTGCGGCTTGCGCGAAATATCGTTGTTGCGAATTCGAGTGAACGTTCGACTGAATTTTCAGCCCGTCGAAAATTCGTCCTGTTTCCTTTTTGACTTTCTCTTTGCTGTCGCTGTCTCGACATCCTAAACTTCCTTTTGAGAGCCAAGTGTAAGACAGGTTGTTACTTTTTACCAATCCTGAATCAGCCACAGGGCGTAGCAAAGCAGTGGGTGCGGGGAGAAGGAAGGAATGGAGGGGAGAAAATAGAGAAGTGTGTTGAGATGTCGCAGTGAGAATATTGTACATCTCTGGCTTTATCAGTGTCACAACTTTAAATATGAAATAGCGAAGTCTCGATCGTTTATAATGTTGACAAAATCTTCACCGAACTCAGACAAGTGAGGGTATGCTCGCCGGCTACTGTTGTTGTTGAATAGTTTTGATATTATTCAATTTTCAGACTGTTTCATTCAGCGCTGGGGCCCCGGTCACTTCCATCATAGAAATGGCCATATCTTACAATTATGAATACCTAGCAATGTTTACAGATACTGGTTTGTTATGGATAGGATCAGCAGATTTACAGGTGGGTATAACACTGTCACACTGTTCAGCCCGCAAATTCAGCTATCAGAGGACGAGTTCAAGCAGTTAGCGCCGAGTAGACTCGGATTCTTAGAAAATGAGCACGAGTGGCGGTCTAATTCAACTGGTAGTACTAGCTTTGATTCTATATCAAGGGTTGAAGAAAGCATGTAAAAAGGATTTGTTTATACTACTTGAATTTGAGGTATCTTTTCTTGTGACAAATGAAGACCCGTAAAATTAAAATTTTTGTATCCGCCTTAGTTCTCCATGGTGGGATATCATCATTAATTTAGTTTAGCCACTTCTTCCTCGGAAACCGTGCAAAAACAAGTTCTTGTTATGGCAATGTTGGTTTTTATCGCGTTCACTTAAGTTGCCGACATCTCCACAAAGCGAGTAAGCTTAGCAACCCGGGCCACTAGGCCAGGCCCTGAAGAGCTCAACTTGTTAAGTACGCCTGTATTTTGCAGTTCTTTGAATTCTGCAGTTATTGTTGTATTTCTGTCTTCTTTAGAAAGTCTACTGTGAGTTCAATACTTCTTGTCCATCAAGACCCAAGCAACTAACCTGGTAAGGACCAAGGAGCAATTGTTGTTTCTAGAATGAAGGCTCTCTTCTTTTATGACGAATTCTCGCCCGGTTGGCCGGGCCATTCTTTTGAATTCAAACTAAGAGCCATCGGTGTCTTTCTTCCGCTACTCATCAAGCGACGTGTCGCTGCAACTAATCTCCTGACCTGTACACGGGGAGTAATCTGTTGCCACAACGTGTTAGTGCAACTTGTCTCCTTGTGTGTTCCGATCTTTACTTATTTCAACTTACCTTACAGGTGTGCAATGGGTGCTGTCATATGTTACTGGGACGATTATTTGGATGTTGTTGGACCGACAATGGACACTATTAGATATCCTTTGATTAACAAGATCATTCTTTATCATGATCCGACTAGCTTTCCAACTATTTGCGGGTCAAGCTATCTAACTGGTAGAGCATGCTAGGATTAAAAATTGTTCTTCTTGTGGTTGTAAATGTTGGCTTGGCCAAGTTGGTGATTGTGCTGTCATGCTGAAATTATATATTGATCGTGTTACTAAAAACAACCTTGATTTGAACTGACAATTGTTACTAGTGTGAGCACGCTATTGCCATGTATTTAACAATTATTGCACGAGTGCGCGTTGGATATGAGTGGAATAATTGTTTATTAAAATCGCCCACAAAACATCGAGAATTCTTCCCGACTTTATTTGTAAGAACAACCAATTTTCAAATTTTGGTATGTGGCTCACATACCATGATGGCTAAGCTAATCAGAGCTCTTTAACTACATTATCCAATGGTTCAGTTTTAATAAATATGCATATGCTACGGATAGCACCTGACTTCTTAACATATTTCACATATCGTATGGACAGTGCTGTTCATTTAGTTCAAGAGTTAGATGGCGTAAGAATCATTGGTAATGACACTCATGAACTGCTTCAGCGAGTTCCAGGTTGGTGAATACGATTACGTTGATTGCGGGCGGTTTTTCCTCCTGGCGAAACCTCCCTAGCAACGAGGAGCAAGATGAAATGGCTGTATTAGCAGACTACAAGTGAAAGGTTTCAAAATGCTCGCAGATATTCTGTCTTGTTCTCGATTCATAAAGCTATCGAAATACAGTAGCCAAAAATAACAATCCCTGTTGGTGGCCAGGATGTCCTTGAGATTTATTTCTTCTCCACAGACATTTGATGCTTTTCCAAATTACTTTCTTTTAAAACGTGTTGTTATCTGTAGGTGCTTAAAGCGAAATAAACTCTCGAGACTGTTGACGTAAACCTTTAGCTCAGTGTGGTCTTGCTGTGGCTTATGTATGATTTTTCAACTTACTTCCCGGAAGCAGATGGGACTGACTCAACATTCAGTATTCCCCCCTTCAAAGTTGTCACGAATAAGCAAGAAGCCCTAAACTTTATTCGAGTCGACTTGTTCAATCGGTTTACGGTCAAGTCGCCCAAAATCAGAGTCATGTCGCTCGAAATAAACAGCGATATTTGCGTCTTTCTTTAACTTGACATTTGCATAGGTTACCGGACACAGCTGAGTCAACATTTTTCGACTAAATTCCTTGCGATATACTTCAGATGTTACTTCTGTTCAAGTTTATACACTCGATAAAATTTTAGGCGACATGACGTAAGATTTCGGGCGACATTACTCTGGTTTCAGGCGATATGACTTCGGGCGAGATGACTTTCTAGCGACTTGACCGGTTACCGTTCAACCAGAACCAAGAGCGCTTGTTGTGCGTGATCGGCAGTGAAATGAATTACCCGCCAAGTTTAAAATTACATGACGCCACTCTAACCGGCCAATAAGGTGGCGTCCTTGAAATAACCACGCAGTATGACACAGAACCAAGAATAGATTGAAACTAATTTTCATGGAAATAGGGTCATGTATGGGGGATTCGTTCGCTTAGATCATCCTCTCTTGCCAGAACCACTTCTTATCACGAACGTGAGTAATTATGTCCGATACTAGAGCAACTATTTCTATTCATCTTTCAGCTGCTGTGGAACAAGTGTTTAAAATCGGTTCAATGGAACCAGGTGCGATGCTGTTTGATGCATCAAAGGAATTTGAGGCAAGCAATGCTTCACCCTCTCTGGGAAAAAGTTGTCCCGGGTAAAAGGGTCAGCCGCCTACCCAAGCCGATGGCGGATCTAGGGGAGGGGTCAAGGGGGCTCGCCCCCACCCCCTTTATTGTTAGACCACCACTGCGAGCCACCCTGGGCGAGCCTGTTGTTGGGTGAACTGTTTTCCTTGGTAAGGTCACCATCCTAGCTGAGCCAACTTTTCTCCATATAATAAAAAAGAATCAACTTTATTTATATAGCGCTATTTCAGTCCAAAAGCTCAATAGCGCTTTACAGAATTCATAAGAAAGAACAATAATGAATGAAGAAAAACATAGCATGACAATAAAAAGAATACCTGACGAACAACATTAAAGTTTCAACTTAAAGATTCTAAACTACACTAAAACGTAAATCCCTAAAAATTAAGCTGTCGTTCTGATTCTTTCATGTATATTCCTGTAAACAGAAAAAGAGCGCGCGAGCAGAGGAGTACATTCGGATGATCAAAGAACGTCTTCCTGAGGCTGTCCAGCAATGTATCCACGCCGCTGCCGGGGAACATGAGCCTGCAATACACAGAGGACTGCTGAGGGTGAGTATAGTTTCAGAGGTAGTCATGGTAACCACATGATCCTTATGTTCAGTTGCTATGTTTCGATTCTCACAGCAACCCGCGCCCAGGGGTTGGGGGAGTTGTTGACAAGTTTAAGGTTTCTTACACAGTGATTGGTGTTCTGTAAACTGCCAGATAAATTTACCATTGTTTGAAAAATTCATTATCTGTTTTCCGTGGCAAAATCACCACCTCCTACTAAAAATGTTTTTGTTAATCTGCTGAAGTTCCTTCGCTTGGGCATAAATCGTTGAACGCGATGCCGTGAAAAGAAAATCTGTACTCAGTGTATCAGGGTAATTTGAATTGAAAGCGAAGAGCGCCAATAGTTCGTCCATTATGTTTCTATTTGAGGAGTGTAGTAAGAGACATAAAGGACTTCATTAATGCTTTCGACGACGGCGTCATTCAGTGATTTTTCAGTTATACAGGATGAATTGAAAGTATAGCAAATCTCAGCGAGTGGTCAACATTCGCCGATAACACTGCTCTGTTACCATCTACCAAGCGAAGTTTGTAACGTCGCTTGGTCAGAGATTTTAGGCGGGAAATAGTTCTCGTGTAACATGTCATGTGTCCTCGTAGTAACCAATAAGAGCGCTCCGGCGGTCGATGTTGGGGAAAATTCCACCTATAGTATAACCGTTTTTTTTTTTTACTGATCTCAGCTGTAATCTTTTCTTCTCTTTGCTAGGCTGCTTCCTTTGGTAAGAGTTTTCTAACTGATATGCCGCCACACGCGTTTGTTTCGATGTGCCGGAATCTTAGAGTGTTAAACGCCGTGCGGGACTACATGGTTGGAATTCCACTCACATATGGACAATATCCTTTATCTTAATTCAAGAGTGAACCAAATTTCAGTTGTTGCAAAAGCCTCGTCTCACAGGTTACGTTTTGCCCAATTGCAGCATGTGTTGCAGCAAGTGTACACTATGCTAGCCTCCGTAGCAACACGAAATTTTTTTTTTATTTTTCGGGTTAATTTGCAATTGCTTAAATTGGAATTTCCGCTGCGACGATCATATCTTCATTGAAACTTGCATTTCCGCAGTTCACATCATCTTCAAGTAAGTTATCATTGCTCTAGTCCCAACACTTTCGACGAACTTGCGCGGAAACTTTTTCTACTTAGTCTAACACTATGCCAGATAGCTCTTGCGTCGGGACAGAAACCATATCGGAGAGTGTTTCTGTCCACACAAGAGAACGGTGATTTCGGTGCGATTTATGTAACGGGGCAAAACTGCGGGGTTTAAATTACTTTTTTTTTTTTTTTACAGGGAACGAACGAGATATGTTCCTTTTTCTCTTTTTTGAAACGGATATGTTAAAAGTACGTTAACACAGTTTTCAATTTTGTGGCTCTTATTAAGTTCTTAAACTGGGCTCCATTTTACTTTTTTGTCCTCTGAGAGTACTCTGGTTATTTTCAAAAATTATCCAATTTTGACGCCTTGACGATCGTCTTAGACTGGAAAAACTAACAATGAAGACCCGTATCGACAGGTGAGTTTTGTTTTTGTCACGCTGTTTGTTATCTTTTTAAAAAAGGTAAAACGTGCAATGCTTAAGCATTTTTTGAGGGGGAGGGGGCGGTAAAAAAGGTGTATTGCATATAGCTGGAAATTTTTTCATAACAGTGCGCGCTCTCATTGGGTTCTCCGAGGTCACGTGACCGTTACAGCGAGGGAAGCGAGGTTTAATGAATTTCCAGCTATATAGCCTCGGGAAACATTGAGATTCTCGGAAAACAAATTTAACTGTTTCCCTCGAGACCAGTCATTACGTGTTTAAGTGTTTATTGCACTATGAAACGTTCAATAAGTTCCGAGCTTCAGGTGAGAATCAAACTTACGACCTTTCGAGTTCAAGATCAGGACGCTCTCCCCACTGAGCTGCTGGGAGCTCTATAGTGTGGAGGATCGAAATTTTTATTGATTATACACCAGACCCGCTATAGTACATAGTACTAAATAGTACTTTTAAGAAAAAAATAGCAAAATGAATATGATGTATGTCCGATAACCTTTCTCTTTTGCCTGACTAAAATGGTAACGTGGTTGGACTTAAGTCATTTCTAAATGTCAAAATTATTTATATTCCTAGTGAATATAAAACAAGTTGAAGCAAAGTTTTTGTTTTTTTACTTGCCTACTGTCCGTGTCTAAACCGTGTTTACTACATTGATCTTTCCACCAACAGACCTGGAGATGGAATTATTTCCCTTAAGTTTATTTTGTTACCGTTTATTTTCTGCTCATGTAGGCTTGTTTTGAGGCGTCACTACTGTCTGGCCATAAGAATCTGTGATTACTGGAAGATTCCTAAGGGGGAGGGTGCCAGTCGCATCCTTGGACACTTGGCTTGTTATAAAGTGAGTGTAACCAGCGGATACCGGTTGGCTGTTACCTATATGTAAGCAGGGGTCTTCCCGCAATCAGCTTATGGCTGGTAATTAATAAAATTGGTAATGGTGAATTATAGTTGTGGCAGTAGACATGACTGGAGTTGGGTGTCCGGTGGTTGTTTCATGTGCTGAATTTGGCTCATTTCTCTTCGTGTTTGTGTATTTATCAAAGATCACAAAATCAACCTATGAAAAGATCTAGATCAATTAGAGTGGATTGTACGCGGTGAAGACAGCGTGGCCAGGCGCCTATCACGTTGTTTTCGCAATCCGCCGGTCCTGGTTGGAGTCTTACTCTAGCCACTTGCTGAATTTATTCGCGGTATTTCCAAGTTCAGATACCCGGTCATGCTTGTAAATAGCCAACTGGTTGCCTCCTGCCAGTTGGGGTTTTTAATCCTGTTGTCTTCTATTTCCTCAATAAATAAACAGTTGTGGACTTTCACATGGCTGGGATGATCACATTGAAATTAACTTCTCCGCTCTAGTAGAAGACAATAGTGTCCGTAAATAGTGTTTCTTGTGTTAAATATATTGACATCTCTTTCGATCCTTCACTTCTTCAAAACTTGCTTTTCTTGTTTAAACAGGTTCAGCAAGCCAATGTTGATGACGAAGAGATTGCTCGTGCCATCAACTCCAAGCTCGGAGAGACTCCTGGGATATCTTACTCAGAAATAGCTTCAAAGGCAATGGACTGTGGACGAACGCACCTGGCCATCAAGGTTAGTTGAGGGCATTCACATGTGAACAGTTTTATTATAGATTACGTTCCAAGCACAATTTGAGGCATAAAGCGGTGTCCTCCGTTAGTATTTCCTTGCTAAATGCACTGAGGCTTAAAATAACGTGGTTTGGTATAGAATGGGATTGGGAATGGGTATAATTATAGACTATACGTTCCCAGTTCAATTTGGGACATAAACTGGTGTCTTCCGTTAGTATTTCCTTGCTAAATGCACGAGGTTCAAAATAACGTGGGTTAATATAGAATGGGTTTTTTACCTGCGGAATTGCGTTTACTGTGGGTAATCAAGAATTTTTTCCGTACCTGGAGTATTAAGACCTCGCTTGCTTTCAGCGCTCCACTTTATCAGCCAGCTTAAGCAACGACGACGACGACGGCAGTGAAAACGTCACTAAGAAAATGAATTTCCGTCCTTTCAATCTTTATCGCGTCTATTTGGAACCGCTTAATTCGTTAAATGTAAGCGACTTTTCCTGGAGTTAAATTCCTATTGTCTTTATCCATGTTCAAATAGAGAACGGAAAATTTGTTTTCGTATGTCCACGTCCTCCACTATATAAAACGTCGCATTGGGAGGTTTCACGTCGTAGTCGTGCAGTGGAGGCCAAAGAAATGTACCAAAAAGCGTGATTCACGTGCAGAGCAGTCGTCTTGCTCATAAAACGTTGTTGTTATTGCAAAACAACGGGCGCTTTCCATTCAACCAAAACGTTCGAAAATTGGAAACAGCGGCAAATGGTACAAAAATTTTCAGGAAAAGTTTCCAGAAATTCCGAAAGATGTTGAATTTCCGAAATGTGAACCATGCATTCAATCGAAAATTCTAGAAATTCCCGGAAGCAAAGTTCAATGAAAAACAAAACTTTCGGAAAATTTTTTTTTAAAATTTGGGCACCCGTCGAGAAACAAAAGTTACGGCTGCAAAGAAGAGCAATGGGGGAAAGGAACATCGAGGGTTTTAACAACTGAAGTTTTTAATTCAATATAAAAGAAACATGTTGAAGTTTTATGCTCTAGCCCTTCGTCAGACTGACCGAAGGGTTAGCACTCGAAATGTCCCTAGTATGCCAAATTTCCTATGTCAACTTAATTGATTAATATAAATTCTTAGCTTTCACCGTGGTTCGCTCGAGGGGTTACCAACATGCTCGTTTCATGGGACGTCAACAACACCTGGAACAGACCGGACCAGATCAACCCCTGTAACTGACTGAATAACGAAAGGTAAGGGATAGTGCCTCTGAGAATGATCTGTTCCGGTTCTGCGGTCCAGGTTTTGCCTACGGCCGTTCTCGTGGCTTCGCCGCCTGTGCCTCCACCAGGAGACCTGCCTACAGCCTGGCTTAAAGCCAGCCTTGACCTCTAGCTGGAGCAATCTCACCATAGTAAGTTCGTCGTTTGACAATCGGTAAACGAGCCTATCATAGCCAATTCATGATTCATAATGTATCTTTCAAGATGCTCACATCTTCTTGTTTTTTTTTTACCTGTAGCTTTTGGACTATGAGGCGGAAGCCGCTGACCAAGTTCCACTGCTCATGCGCATGAATAAAGATGACCTAGCGCTCGAGAAGGCCATTATGAGTGGAGACACGGATCTGGGTGAGTTGTGAGTGGGTACCACTGCGATTAGCTACAGCAGTTTGGTGATCTTTTAAGTTCGTTTTTGTTTCGTCGTTGTCGCTCAAAAGCCGACTTATAGGAAGGTCTATCGTTATGTTGAAATTGTACCAAAGGTTCAAAAAAATTAGAATCAACTTTTTCTCAGCCTAAAAGTTGGCGTTACACTAGCTGTGTTACAAGCACGGGCACACTTAGAAACCGTAAAACATTTTTGAAGTTGTTTTGTAGCTTATTATTCTGATCTTTTCTTGCCGTTGACACAATTTCAAGTATATCTCAACCATCTTGATCCTTACATGCTCTCCTCCAATGGTAACAGCTTTCTCTGGTCAGGTGATCAAAATTGATGGATCCGAACCGCCGTCCTCCAAAACCCGCCTACTTGATTTTCCCCTGTATCTAGATGACATTTCATTTTTGTTGTCTTTTTTTTTTCTTTCTAGTATTTATGGTTGTTATGCATTTGAAGGATAATCTAATTCCTGACGAGTTCTTGATGGCCATACGTTACCGTCCTGTGGCACTCAGCCTCCACATCAAGGTGAGTCTATGAGAAAAGAGTTGTGTAAATGAGTGTGTATTTGTTCAAGGCTCCAACCAAGAGAAAACTTGCCGTAAGGTCCTTCAACGTAACGCTAATATTGTATTTGCTAGGAAACGTTTTTCCTTTTATGCGTTCACTCTTTAAGATCACAAAAATGACATCAAAATGTTGGAGGAGTGAGTGGTTTTACGGTAACGTTTGTACCATCTAATGTCAATTCTTTGAAATGTCGGATCCTCGGCAGTGAAAAATGGCTACTTGTCTAGCTATTTGTTGTTGTTTTTCTACAATGTCTGGGAGAATCGCGCTCAACAGACAGAGACGAGAAGGATCTTTCGTTTCTATTCTCTGTACTGTCATGAGCAAAACCTGTCGACCAATCGGGGCGCAGAAAACACTCGGTTATTGTAAATCATTAAACTGTGTGGCAGGCGTCTTAAGAGGTATTGAAAAAAGTGAAAGTGGGAAAGGGAAGCCTGCTCTAGGACCACCTTTTTCATTTTTACTACCTTTTCC